AATCTTGTAAATTAAGTTTGAGTTTTAAGTCACTATAAAATACAATTTAAAATTACAAGTAATAAATTTAGCAGAAGTAAACGATATTGTAAGATTATTATTAAGAATTAAATGAACGAAGAGAATGAAGAGACTACGTGAAATACATGAAGTTCGACTTAAACTAACCGAAGTTACTTCACCGAGTTACCTATTAATAGTATTATATATCTGTAAAAATCCATATTGAATCTCTGAGATGTCAAAGCTTTCAAACATTATGAGTCATGCAGTTTTCTTTACTATAAAATCAAGATTTTCATTATTTTTGCGACAATTCGACTACGTACACATTATTTATATATATATATATATATATATATATATATATATTGAACATTGTGAATAATAATGTATAATTATTAGAATGAAATTTTTGATTATTTTTTCATTTAGTATATTTGGATATTATAATAATGTGCAAAGAAGCAGAGGACAAAAACATTTTAGAAAAATGTTCCGATGCTGTACACTTGAATGCTTGTGCTGGAAGAAAAGGTATTTTTTTATTCTTATTTCTTAATCAAAATTCGTGTTTCAATTAAATTATAATATTTAACTAAATTATTTTCTAAAAGAAAGTTTACATTTAATGAATCAAAATAGCAATTTCTCATTTCATTAATAAATCCAATCATTTTAATATTAGTTTTTTTTTTAACAGCTATTATCCCATACTCTTTAAAGTAATGCTCTAATTCCTAAAATTAATACTTTTCCTTAATAGACAAATACTAATTATCATTATATTTATATAGTATTACATGCATTGAATGTACGCGAAATAAATATTAATTTATTTGCATCGTATATTGATAATGTTTATTCGGGACAATTGTATTCTAATGAAATTTTAATAATACTTAACTTTTAAATACAGAAGAATAATAAATTATTGTTATTGTCACTGCGCTTAAATTATTCTACAATATGTCGTGAAAAAAGGAAATTATTATTATTATGGTAAGAGGTTGTTTAACAATTTATGCAAGATATTGTTGTCAGATATAGTGATTATAAAACATAGTTTCAATGCTTAAGAATTAAATGATAAAATAAATTTACATTAATAGCCAACATATAAATTAACTTATATAAAAAGTCTCATAACTTTATAAAAATTAATTTAACGGTCTTCGGTTAATCGTGAAAGAAAATAGTTGAATTATTGTTTTATATAGATTACCTACGACATATTCATACACTCGCTCATGCGGATTCTTTATATTCGTTATCGGATGCGTTGATAAGAAAAAAATTATTGCGCCCATATTGATTTTTAAAATAAGCCCTAAATTACTGTATGTACCATTATAAAACATAATGATGTTTTATATTTTGTATATATTAAACAATATTAGTAAATTGTATCAATTACTATTTTGAGATGTAATATAGATCTTATTTGTAATAGAAATTTTCTGTCGTAGTATTTACCGGAACACATAATATTAATTACTACTTTTAGTCTGATTAATGTTACATTATATAAGCTATTATAAAAAAATAAAAAATAAATTTTCTTCACGAATACAATATAATCAAAAGTGTAAAATTGTAGTTTCGAGTTTTAGTATTCAATGAAAGCAGATTACGACTTAGAAAAGAAAGTCCGATATACCGTATGTATGTATTAAAATTTATGAAAAGAAGTACAAAATTAAAAATGATTTCTAAACATGAGTTATAAAAATTGTTCAAATTTATTTTAATATTAATCACTGTATTGCGTATTTAAATTACTTTAAATATATAAAATAAGTTGCATAGATAATTGATAGATAAATTAATGCTTTATTAATTTTTGGCTAATTTTTTCATTGATCTCTTGAAAGTTTATAATCCAATTGATATAAAAATTATCACGAAGACAGTGTGATGAAAATTTATTTCAATGAATAGCAAATGTTATTTTACATTATGTGTCACGATAAACAGACCTTTAGCATTATATTTATTTCAATGAATAGCAAATGTTATTTTACATTATGTGTCACGATAAACAGACCTTTAGCATTATTGTAAAATTTTTTTTTTTTTTTTTTTTTTTTTTTTATTGCTTATAATATTGGCTCAAAAGTTAAGACTCGATGACCGAGTATCAAATATCTACAAGCATTTAAAATTTAAAATTTTTCAGCAAGAACAAATCAATTACTGGCCACGTTCTTAGATAAAAAGAATCCAATGATTTACGCATCCACTAACTCATTATGTATTATATGCCACAATGTTTATATTCAGAGCTAATTTTGACGCGCTAATTTGACGATCATAGCACCAGTGATTTATAACTTGATTAATAGTGGATCGATCGATATAACAAAATAATAATTGGAATTAGGTATTGAGTATATTACGTAAGATAATGTAAAAACATTCTCTTTCGATACCCAGATGTGTCATGTAATGCAGAACATTTACACACCTATAAATATGTAACGTATGTTAAATTCAATTTTATTTATCTGTATTTCGGCTATAATTTATAAATTATTATATAAGGCTAAAAAAGCACTTAATTATTTACAGTTACAAGCCTAGCCATAGTTAAATAATATGAAAACTATTGAATAAAAATTCATGGAAATACGCTTCTTCGTATAGTAGTTAAAAATTCTATCAATAATATATGAAATTTGTAGAATATTGAAAATATATTGATCATTTATTTGAAATCAGTCAGGATGGAACATTTATTTAATGAAATAAGTATATTATGTTTTTTTTTATCTAATGCATTGAAAGTAAGTAATTATTCGTAGGAAAATTAAGGTTATTAAAATTAGTTGAATTAGAAGGAAATATTTTATATTAAGAGTATGTAAATGGGATTATTATAATGATTGAAAATCCTAATTTAATAGGCATAATAATAATTATCATTGATATTAAATTGATAAAGTGGCATTTTTCTAATTGACTTTAATAATTTTTTATTTCATTTATCATTGATTAATGAAAATTCTTGTTTATAATAATTGAACTATAAAGATAAATTTTGAACGATAATATAAATTTATTAATACGGAATATTAGATGCAATTAAAGGATTAATACATTCATCAAGTAACTGTCTATATTCTATATCATGAAATTATTATAATTTGATGTTTGATGTATTATATTTTGATATCGTTCTTACCATACAAATACAAAATTGATTTTAAAAATTATCATTCGTTATTAATTATGTTAGCCTTGCGGATTTGGAATAATTTTCTTACGAAATCCTAATCAATCTCAATTTTTATCCGTTTAAATTCAGAAAATTGATATTCAAGTACACTCGCACCAGCATAAATTACCTATGAAATATGCATTATCCGCGACTATAAAAATATTGAAACTCCATGTCAATATTTGATACATATTCTAATTTTATTATCGATGCTTCCCCTTTATCTCACCGCTTTACAAATGCATTTAAATATAAATATTTTTTTCTATTTTTAATACAAGACAAGTACATCTACGCGAAGTCAGCGGCAAAGTTAACAATTATTTACAATGAAGAGAAAGTTATGCTAGAATCTACGAATGAATTATAATACTTATGAAATATCTCTACAAGAAAGTTTAATTCTCATGAAATTTACAAACGAGATGATCCTCTCTTTATCCCATTATCGTAAGTGCAACGCGATTGTACAAACTTTCATTCTTCTTATACCGATTCTTCAGTTTTCAGTATCAATAGTTCGACCGCCAACCATGTAAAACAAAAGAAAACACATTAGAACTGATTTTTAAAAACAATCGAATGTTTCGTAGGTGTCGATCAGTCGTCCTGAAATTATTGAAATTACTTCGAATGCCGTATTATCGCTTGATCGAATCTTAAGCTTCCCGAATGACCAAAATGTAGCCAAGTTACGAGCTGTAACATTAGCGAATAAATTTCACGTAAAACAGTCTTACTACATCTTATTAAATAAATACAAGAGATTAATTTCACCATTGTGCACGTACGGACATAGACGAAGATAGAGTCAGCCGAAAGTCTATTAGAAAATCGTATTACGTGATCATCGTGTGCGAGTGTCTACGAAACCTGTCGCTCTCTACGTCATTTCTCCAGTTTACACTAGAAACAACGTCGAACGAGGATTTTCTTATAGAATTCGAGTTGCAGATTTCTCGAAATATATTTCCTCGTATTATCGAGCGCCTTATTGAAGCCGAATATTGTCTTAGCCTATTTTATATTTTCAAACCGAAGCGGCAATTCCAGTTTAGAAATTATTGCTCCGTGACGTCATTTTAGAAAAATAATCCATAGTGTGAGATCATGCTGTAAATCGTGTCTATATACAATACTTATTTAATACGTAATAGCCGCCATACAAGCTCTATTGGCTTTACGAAATAAGCCACTTTAAAGGAATTCGAGTGCATTTTACAATTTTAATAATTTTATTGGATTAAATTAAGGAACGTTAATTTCCTTGGCCATGTTAAAAAACCAAAACAACTAATTTATTTATGAATTTTACACATGCCTGACAAATTTTGTTAATTAACAGGCGGTTGAATCCTCAATTGTGATATGCAATTACATCGATTGGAAATAAATATTTAGCTGCTTGTATTTTTTTTTTTTTTTTTTTTTTTCAACCGTCCTGATCTATCCGACCCTAGGCAACAAATACGTAATCCAAGCCTTGGTCCTAAAACTACATCGAGCGCTATTTTCCACTTTTAACTACATTTGCTCCTGACGTTCTCATTCAATTTACGTAGCTGATAAGGACAGTAGCGCGCGGATAATCATTGAGAAATTTAGCAGAGCAGGCGGCAGCGCTCTAAAATTGGAATTGGATTGGCCGTTCGAAACGATCCAGCGTCCCAACAAATGATGTAACCAGCACACCAATGTGATTCGCATCGACGAGATCGGTATTTGCGCGGCCGGATTATTAAGAGACGCAATTGGTTGATGAAAAGGGTGTTAATAATACCTAGAGCGAAGGCCGCGTTGTGGCTCCGGGGAGGTGTGTCGTAAAGCTCCGAAACCCAGGTGTCTAAGAGCCCGTGGAGCGACAGCTTTCCTTTGTCCTCGGTTTCTTGCGCAGCTTCTGTCCGTGCGCCTCGATCCCCTGAGGAGTAACTGCGAGGCTCATGAGCCTCCCCTTTGGGGGTGGGCGTCGATCTTTTCTCTCGCGGCCTATATCACATAGTCCCCGGCGGGCCCTTACTTCCACACCTTATGCTCCGGGTTCGCGGTCGCGCTCCCGACGGCGGGCACCGCGCACTCGATAATAACAAAAATCAAGATTGATGGGCGATCGCTCGTAATCGCTGGATCTTCCTCTGCCTTGGCGTCTTTTGCCGGACGCGAGCGCGCGCGTGCTAAAGTCGAAGCGCGGCGTCGATCCTCGCTCCTTCCTTATCTAACTACGACCTGTTCGAGTCCTGCCGCGAGACTGAGCCTCTCAAATTCAACGACTGACTCGGCGGCGGCGACGATGACGACGACGACGACGACGACGACAACGACGACGACGACGATGACGACGACGACGACGACGCCGCCGCTGCTGCTGCTGCTGCTGCTGCTGCCGCCGCTGCTGCTGCTGCCGCCGCTGCTGCCACCGCCGCAGCCATCGCCGCCGAATCCCCCCTACCCGCCTTTCTCTACCCATTGCCCCTTTCTTCACCTGGCGTTCGCTGGATCTCATCCCGTCCCCCACCCCGCCCCCGCAGCCGCATACTAGCCGTCCGTATCTTGACTGTCGAGCGAGAGGCTGTGCTTTTCGTTTTTTCCTCGTTTTTCCTTCGAGAGACGAACGCGCTCGCATCTTTGCTATTGCGTAGGGCTCACGATACCGGACTATTATACCGGTCGTTGAAAAAGCTGACCTTCTTATTGACGAAGGGAAAGTTGTTAAGAGCTTGGTTAAACTGACCGAAATCGCCGCGATCTGTGTTTGTTAAAAAGCCTATTCGATCTTCGGCATTTTATTCGGCTTGTGTCGCTTAAAAGAATTCGTTGAAATTCGTCTCGGCTAGCGATACCCTCGTTACTCTATGAGCTTTTACGCTTTAAAGCTTTTCTAATCGTTGGTTATCCAGCAAAGATGGTATTTCACATTTTAACTAGCTATAATCAGGTTAATAATTTCTTTCTAATATCTGGCGTTCTTAGGATTTTCTCTGTTCATATTCATGGATCCAGAAATTATGTAGGCCATTCTGGCATCGAACTGTTCTTTCCAGGTTATTCACCGTTCATCACTTATGATGCTTATATTGAAAGGTCATCTTTTTATAACAAAATAACTTTCTTTAATAAAATGAGAGTGGATAAATGCTCGATACATCGAAAGCTTATTTGTCGAGTTGCCTTATTATAAATCGAGGAAAACTTATGCCCATAAGATATATTATGAAAATCGATGGTCTATCAATTAACTTTTTCACATGGCAATATTTATTTCCAAGATCCATTTTAAGGAACATCGCCGAACTTCGAATATAATAAATAAAACGCACAAACATTGAGAAATTCAACTTAATATTTTATAGAAGTGATCGAATAAAAAGATATTTCAGAATTCAAAAAAGTAATTCTTTTTTAAATAATTAATATTCTCAGCTGTTCGTACATCAGCAGATAACTACCGAACAGTAAGTAATTATTGTACATTTTATTTTATTAAAGTAACATATGAATTTCCATGCACGAATTGTCCAAATTAATTAGCATTGAGTATTCCATTATTCCGTATCGATGTTTTTCTTTAATAATGTCTATAAGATTGAAATTATTGACTTTTAATCTAATAAAAATATATCCGCTAATAATCCAATAACTTTAATTTAACAATAATTTTACTAATACATACTCTTTTAATTACTGGGTATATAAGAATAATTTTACTGTTTGCCGATACAAATGAATTACAATGTTCTTCAAAATAATAATTTAAAATTAATAATTATTTTTTCAACCATGACTTGATCACTTTGTAGAATCTATGTAGACAACAATAAAATTACATTATGTATAGAGGTAAAACGAGGTAAATCATCATAATGTTATCAAAATGCTATCGAATTATTAATTCGAACAATTTACAGAGGAGGAAATCAACACAAATCGTTCTTGGCAAATGTACCATTAATTTTTCCTGCGGTATGTAATACTTTAGTCATTATTATTGTTTTAATACGAGCATCATAATCATCATTGCAATGGTATTACACATACGCGAAATCATTATAGTAAATCAATCGATTTGAATTGATTGACTATCGCGTTAAATTAATGGAATTTGTGCAATGAAATGCAAATCACTTATGCGTGGATTTTACGATTATTAACAAATTCTAGATTACACGAATTAAATGGTGAAGTTAAAGATGTGAACAATTGATACTTAATATTGTAAATATTATAATATCATAATATATTTAGATTATAACAACGAATGATAAATTTGCGTTAATTTTAATTTTCAAAATTGCAGCCCAAACTAATGTTATTATGTAGTTATATTTGCATACATTTAGTTATTTGAATTTTTGTTATTGAAAACTCTTCTCAAGGTATCAAGATGAGGCATAAATTAGCGTTGAATCTGGATTTTTATACATATTAACTACAAATAATCAATGAGACGTATAATTTTTGTTTTGATATTTCATTCGTATGTTATAGGATTATGATAATATATTAATATAAAAATATGAAGTTGATCAAGACATTTAAGGGACTGAATTTTATTTCTTTTCTATGACTATGAAAAATTTATATAATTGCCAAAGATATTTTTAACAAAGTTGTGTATGTACACTCTGTAATAAGCATAATTATATAATTGGATCATAAAGATTTCAGCATCTTAAGAATAAAATGCAGAATACACGTCAGTTTTCATATAGTACTTTTAAAGACCATTAGAAATTCTGAAAATTATCATGCACAAGAATTTATTATTAGTATTATTATTATTATTTTACTATATTCATAAATAATATTCCTGAAGAAATAATAAGGTAAAGGATTAGTCATAAATAAATTTTATTTTTAGAGCAGCAATTATTGCTATTTACGAAATATTATTTATGAAATAATTAAACTATTATTATTAAAAGCATTCAAATTGAATTTAATTCTATAATATAGATAAGGCGCATCCAAAAACAGCCTACGATATCTTACACATTCTTAAAAATGTTAAAGAGTCATTATACCTTTTTTTATTCATTTGAATTTTATGCAAGCATCTTCGTACCAAGAACTGTAATCAAGCAATTTAAAAATGTAAAGAAAAAAAGTTATTGGCTGCAGGTTTTTACACTGTCTGACGTTTTTTGCGGGTATAGCTTGGATAACTAACTAAGTCTTCCGCATATTCAGAACGCACAGATTAAAGTAAGTTAACAAATTGTGGATATTATTTACTCTTATTATTGGAGATGATAAAATTAATATTTGCAATTAATCAATATTAGCACTGACATTCGATTCTAAATAGTTACAATATATATATATATATATATATATATATATATATATATAATACACCACAATACGATAAAATAAAAAATTTATAATAGTGAAAGAAATGGCAATTGTTCGATCCGCAAAGAAATTAAATTGGTACTCGGACCAATTTGAGAAAGAGGAAGAATGAACGGATGAACAAAAGACTCGTAAAGGTGAGCCAATTTTCTACTGCCTGTAAAAACTAATAACATGCTTGGTGCTTAGCTTTGTACAAAAATCATAAACAATTTTTTTTTCCTACTAGAGCCCTAGTCGAATAGTCCTTCTTCTAATCGTTTTTTCACTTTTGAATTCTACGAAAAATTACAGCGAAATGACAATAATCGAATGAAATAGCGAAGATACGAATGAATGAATTATACGAAGACTGCGATGAATTATACGGAAGCACGGTAAGAATTTTAATTATACCACATGCATGCGCTCGATATGTCGCTGTCAGCCTTCTCATACGCTTTAGCCTCATTTTTAATCAGCGGGCGACACCGTATTTAGTTTGAAATCGAAGTTGTGTATGCTAAACTAAGATACTCGAAGAATTGAAAAGAATTCCGACAGAACACAAAGAAGGAGAGCATCGATCGGCGGTAAGAGCCGATTCGCTTCTCGACAATATTTATCTTTGATTTTCGTAGCACCGTTTGTACTTTCCAACTAATGTTCGGCACTTCGGACGCAGTCGACATTTTCGCTAAGTAGGTTAACCCGTAAGTATTTTTAAAAACAATTGTCCCTTTATTGAAAAACAAAATTTATTCTACAACGAATATAAAATTAATTGTAAATCGAACGAAGCTCTGAGTCGATTTTCTTTATAATCAATATAATTTAATTTTACTTTCTCATTATCTCGAATAAAACATTATTATTTAATAAGTGTAACTATGATTGACACGATCCTTGATAAATAATAACATAAAATAAATGCCTATTTTGTTTTTCTTTAGAAATTAATATTCTATCTCATAAAAAAACCTACGGAATTATGAATTTGGTAACGTTGAAAAATTCCTGTTTGTTATTTAATGACATCCACGTATTAGTGGACCGTTGAATAAGCAATATTGAAGTTGGTTAAATAAAAAATTTTGTTTATTTGCTGTTCTGCAAGGTCGTAAAACTGTGCTAAGAACGAAGAGCCATAGTGTGTGTGCTTCTTTCAAGTACTACACACTTCAACGGATAGGAATATTAAAATATCTAAAGAGCGAAATAAAAATCACATTCAATAGGTTTATTATAAAAAAAAAAAAAAAAAAAAAAAAAAAAAAAACAATAAATTATCAGATTCGCTTTATACTATTTTATTTATAATATTATTTATTAATTACAAAGATTTACTTTGCATGTATTTAAACACTTTATGTAATTGTTAAAAGGTGAGATAAGAAGATTTTCAAAGCTGCAACTTTTATCAAAATAAAACTACAATTTTTTTATACCCATGACCTTCTGGAGACCACATTATATAAAAATTTATGTATTTAAATTTCAAAAGTCAGAAATAAACGTTCTTTTTATATTACTATTTCAAAAAAAAAATTACCAGTACACATAAACATTATTAATCAAATATTGTATATACCTTAATTCATAACTATATA